TTCTTTTCAAGTGCACATGGTACTAAGAGACACCATATATTGGGCCATAAAATCTGTATCAGAACAAGGACAAAATCACCAAACTGCCACATTTCACTGCCTCTTCTAAAAACACACAGAACAAACTTTTTGGGAAAGTAAAAGCAACTCTTCTTTCCCTCAAAAAAGTGACAGATAATGCTTAGATTACGGGTAGTCAACAAATAAACCAATTAACCTGGTCACCTTGTTAAGATCCTAGGAACAGCCATAGAGAACCCAAATTAAAGATAATTGAGAGAGCAGTCACATATTCATAGATTTGGAAAAATACTGTTAGGATTTCTTTATAGCTACATTTAGGGATTTAAGTATGACTGTTCAAATCCTTTATCCCACTATACTTCTTAGGTTGTTTCCTTTTTGAAACCATCTAATATTTCTATTGATCTCATTTTAAGGCTGGAACACTCAAGTCCCCAAGGAAAAGAGAAAGCACAGACTCAATTTCCATAGCAACTCTAAATCCATCACACTATATTTGTATATGAGAATTTGATTTAAATACATTAATATATGTGAATTTGCAATGTGTCTGAGCTGTGGTTGCTATAGGAACCGCAACTTTCAATTTCCTTTCAAGTTTAGGAAGTGCTCACACTTAACAACTCAATCCCCCCACCCTGATGGCTCTCTTGAGTTGCAGATTAGGCTCATCGCAATACATTTACAAACATCCTGACTCACACTGATATATGCACTCAACAGAGATCTACCATTGTGAAAATGTCTCTTCTAACACTTACTCCTCCTTGGTAGATCACAAGCAATTAGAGATGCGCTTCTGCAGAATGTGGAGAGAACAACTCGCCAGGCAGCCTCTGCTTATGCCAAAGCCGGATGCAGGTGCAGGAAAGTCGCCCAACCGCACAGACACCAGTGGGCTCTGCGGCTTCTCTGAACTGCAAAGGATATTCTGTGTCTGTAATGAACTGGCAGAAAAATCCAACACCTTCTCACAACAGCCGAATGCACCGAATGTGTGGAGGGCATCTACTTTATACAAAAGCGAACAACCCACGGAGCATGGCTATAGAAGTCTGTAGGATGAAAAATTTTTTTTTCTTTTTTTTTTTTGCCAAGGTAGACAGCACTTAATTATCAACATGTGGACGATCTATTCCATGATGGCATTTCCACTCACACATGGGCCCTTCAGCACAAGATGCTCGGAGCACCTCCTGCTCCTCGTGGATTACAGTCAGGACATGCAAGTTACTTTTAATATCAGCCTAAGGTAGTATCCGGGGAGAAAGATCCACTGCTAAATGAAGAATCCCAAAGCAAAATGAGAAGACCGGGGTGATCTCCTGCTTTTGATTATACCAGCCATTGCTTACTTCCACTAATGTGGATGGTTGACAAAGGACAAGGTTTAGAGGTGGGACAGAAATGACTGCTGAACGTCCCTGACATGGCATCACTGTGACGCGGATTGGAGAATTCCCAGGGAGCAGACCCTCACCTCAGCGTCACGTGCGTTGTCTTCAACTTTGGATGGACCAAATCGGACTTGTATACAGAGAAGATGGCCCTGAATGGTTTCAGGCCAGAGGCAGGAGGCCACTTTAGAGACTGTAAGTCGTTCATGGCGGAGATGATTAACAGAAAGTTAAACAGAATCTTAAGAATTAGAAAGGGGGGGGGCGCCTGGGTGGCTCGGTGGGTTAAAGCCTCTGCCTTCAGCTCAGGTCATGATCCCAGGGTCCTGGGATTGAGCCCTGCATCGGGCTCTCTGCTCAGTGGGAAGCCTGCTTCTCTCTCTCTCTCTGCCTGCCTCTCTGCTTACTTGTGTTCTCTGTCTGTCAAATAAATAAATAAAATCTTAAAAAAAAAAAAAAAAGAATTAGAAGGGGGGCTCTGAGTGTATCAGTTAGTACAAGCTGGTGTCCCACCGACCCTGAGGGATACGGAGAGGCGTGGAGCTATGTGATTCTCTAATAAGGCATTCGGGCTGTTGGGCTGTTCAGTAAGCTTTCTGAAGTCTTTCGGCTCTTCCTTTACTGATGCTTACATTTTCTATTGCTATCAGTGGCCTCCCTGCCCTGACACGTGATGTGTGGAGAAACCATACCCCCATGTTTGTTATAATTATACATTTTATATCACAGATTTGACAATACCTATTCTGACTCTTGGAAGACATGTTGACTTACATTTTCTTGGCCATATTCCCAAGAGTTGGATACATGACCTCAAGAAAAATGAGGTCTTACTGTCTTTATAGGGGCCTTTCACTTACTATAGCTTTTAAAACAATGTTCTACATGTGGTGTATACCTTGCTATAATTTTTCCCACACTATAGTTTTTCCATCCCACAATGTCCAAGAGACAGAACCTATTTTAATAAAAAGGTTATGATTGGTTTGACTTTTGAAAATACCCTTTCCTCCTGATTAAGACCAATGAGGTACACATGGTCAAGGTATTAGGAACATAAGTCGTAAGAACTACTGCCTTCTGGAACATTAAAAACCCTATTTATTACCTGTTGACTTTAATGTGTTTCCTGAGCTTTGTCACCGGAGAGGTTAAGCTCTGGAAGAAATGTATTTCTGTTTCAGGTTCACGGACATTCTATCAAAACAACACACACTTCTCTGCGGCTTCTGAGAAAGACCAATGGGGGAGCTGCTAGAGAACAAGGCCAAGGCAACAGCACGGGTGGTGGGGTTGGGGGATCAGGAGCAGAAGTGCCAATCCAAGGACACGCTGTGATTGTGGAAGAAAAATAAATTTCTGAAGCCTGTCTGATTTCACTACTAAAAAACGTGGGGGAAAAAGAAAGTGGCAGTGGAGTTTTAAGATGGAACTGTACACCATTAAGAGCTCTAGAAAAAGACCCTAAGATGAGAAATCCCAGGTGCCCTGAGTCTCCCCCCTCCTGCCCATGTCCTCCTATTCCATTTGCTACCAAATCCCCCATGCTGGACAAAACACACCACTCTTCTTCTCTACCCACATCTATTGCATTGATCAAGTTTCTGAGGCCAAACCTGAAGTCCAATTTGAACCGCCGTAAATTTTTGTTCCCTAAACTCCTTGTGGCTTCACTCAACCTCTCTCTCCCCACCACTTGTTAAAATAAAAATAAAAATAAAATTCCCCTTCCTTTCTAAGTTTGTATCAACACATTTGACCTCATCTTCTCCCTCTGGTTTACGGGTCCTGGCTCCACAAATTTTGCCTTTTTCCTATCATCAAATATTTCTCTTCCCATGGAACTTTCTCTCACCTTACAAAACTGCCCGTTGTGCCTTGTCCTGAAAGCAAACGAAAACAGATCAAGGACAACACCATGCTCCTTCCAATCTCACTTCTTGAGGCTGTCAGCTTTTCCCACAACAATTCAACGTTTTTCAACTTTTTTTCCTGACAAATTTGGTGAAGGCAGAGTCTACTCTTACTGCGTGACTTTACCATTTGTGAGTGAGGCCACACTCCTATCCAGTCTCCTGGAATCTAGGTTTATGCACTCAGCAAATTAACAGACCTGTTCTCTCAAGGATTATTCCTCACCTCCTGGGAGCCCAGTATCTTTGGCCTCTTTTCAGGCTTCATCCTATTTGATCTCTCCACAATTAATAGTCTCCATTGCTGGTGATCCCTCTTTCCAGAAATTTCCTACTATTCATTCTCTGATGCTGAGTCTTCCTAGTTTTCTCCTGATGTTCATGTCTTTTTTTCTCAGCTTCCTTTTTTCCCTTTTCCAGAAGATCTGTGCTTAGCTTAGTTTATTTTATATAAACTCATTCACTCTATGGCTTCAAAGCTGGATTTTTATGCTATCTTAATCTCCTTCCTCAAGTCCTCTACCAATCTGGGTCCCATCATTCCAATGAGTGACCCCTAAGTTGAGAAATCCAATGGACTCTTCCCATCCTCATTTTGCTTGACTCCTCCACAAACTGAGACATTGTTGGCCATTCTGTTCCCTTCCTTCTGCTTCCTTGACAAGTCATTCCTTCATTTCCTTTAATCTTTTTGGCATCTTCCCTCCTCTTGTGCAAACCCTTCCTTGTCTGCCCAAACATGAAATGCTAGCGTTCTTCAAGCCAGTCTCTTCCCTTCCCACTGAGGGCACAGTGCCAGCCTCAATGACATGGATATGTGGAAGGCTCACAGAGGGACCCCCCCTAGCCTCTACAAGATGCCTGTATTGTTCAGTATTAGTATTTTTCTGGCTACCTCTTATCCATTCTGATTGGGCATAAATAAGGAATTTGTACTGTTTACCAAATTAAGGTTATTGGTTTAACAAGCATGAACACTGGTTTTTAGGATGGAACAAGTAGTTTCTGAGCATTTCATCGTTTAACTGTCCAGGACTGCAACTTGTGTAATAATGACCTCAATTTGTACAAGAATACCCTCCTGCTTGATAAAGTCTATTTTTAATGGAAGGATGTTTATATCTTTGAAAGATTTTATCCACAAAAGTTTAAAAGATTTTAAATCCCCAATGACTTCACTTTTGGACCAAGCTGGATACAATGAGGTCTTGCTGAATATTATCACACAAAAATTGGCACCAGCCATACAGGAGATAGGATGCATATTTCATGACTTTCCTTTGAAAGAGTATAGATTATTCATATTTAAAAGCATAAATTGGTTCATATCCTGGTTTCTACAGCCAGCAATTAAGTCATAAAAATATTTCAGTTGAAATCTAAACAGACACTTGATATTTTTCAGAAAAACATACCAAGAAAATGAAATCGACCCCTGGAGTATGATCCTAACATGCAGCTTGAATGATAAAGAGTGAGTAACTCTGCCTTTTAGTAGTTTAAATCACTATCATTAGACTTATTGCAGATAAGGCACTGCTGGGAAGATAATGTGGTCAAATCCAGAGGCATAAAGAGCCTGCTGGGAAGAATCAACCCAACACAGGAGAGCGCAGATGCCATTTCCCAAAAGGAAAGCAACTGTTGGATTTCCCTGTCCCAATACCTGCAGTGGGGGAGTTTGCGTGGTGAGACTTTTTGGGCAGGTTGAAGATCTGTTCGCCAGGGTCAGGGGGAGGGATTGCGTCTTGTCCTTGCCGTGCTTCTACAGGATCATACTCCTTCCCATCGTAGTTAGCATCATAGAACTTCTTAAACCACTGAATGAAATCCAGGTTGTCCTGGAAACGCCCTTTCACCAGCTTCTCCACTGGGATCACCTGCAAGACAAAATCGCTGTGAGTCATGACCCTGTGTGTATTTACCACAACCAAGGGGCTCCCTATAACTGTTTCATACATGTCCACAATTACGGACTACTGGTCTCCCCACAGCTTCTTCACTAGCTACGTTCTAGAATCCACCTTTTTTTTTTTTTCCATCATATTAAAGAAAAGTTAAACTAAAATGCTGTAAGTGGTTCTTTTGAATTATTTCACACTTATGAACAAATGAGATGAAACAAGGAATACCCTTAGCTGTCAAGCGTGACTGATCCTCCTCATCATGTATTTAATTACTCAAGCATCTCCCTACAAAAATGGGCCTGGGATGTTCTGCTGTTTCAAGATTGATGGACTTTCCATATTTCTTTCTAACACTTGGTCTAGCAGTGCTGGAATGAACTCCTATAAGGATTATAGCTACCAGACAGAGTGAATAAGACTTAAATCAATGCAAATATATGCTTATCTAATGGTTCATATGAAGCAAAATAAACTTTCCTGGTTGTTGTTGTTGTTTTGTTTTTACACGATACAAAGGGACGAGCATTAAAAACAACTGCCTGCGGGGCCCCTGGGTAGCTCAGTCGGTTAAGCGTCCTACTCTTGATTTCGGCTCAGGTCACGATCTCTGTGTCATGAGATCGGCTTCACAGGAGCACAGCTAACGTATCATGGAGGAGCAGAAGGACAGAAATGGGGTCTGACTGGGGGAGTCACTGAAGGCATTCTGCACTATATTCACCTCAACTTCTGAGACAGATCTTGGCTCTTCATGGAGGAACTCTACTGGCAACCTAGACAGCCAATAGGTATTCCCTTTAGAGGTCGTGCAGGAACTTTCAGGATTATGACAGGATGAAATGCGGGGTGACTCATTAGCTTTACTTCGGTGGGCAGCTATTTTTGAAGGAAAATGGAAAAAAAGGACTTAGTTATGCAAATTGTGCCATTACCAGGTTCTGACTTCCTCATTTTTGAGTGGGAATTCTAGCTGAATGTAGGCCACGAGAGCTACGAAGCTGGGGAGTGAGTCCGATCACAGCTACACGATTCAGACACAAACCCAGCATTCAAAGCACACAGCTTCACAGAGTAATAATATGAACAGAAGCCATATAAATTAAATTTTCAGCAAGGCTTTGCCACCTCAGGGGCTGGATACCCGGATATTCTGGCTGGATCATGGATGATCAGGACCACTTAAAAATAGAGAAAGACCTCAAATATCAAAGACCACGGCAAGGAAAAAAAACACCTGAAGCATTTTAGGCCACCCATTAAACTAAATCATTAGCAACAGATTTTTCCGAAATGTTTGTTGAAGCTAAAACTGAAAAGAACTCAAGTTATGGAGCAAAATAAAGAGAAACAAACTTTGGGAGAGGGGCACATTTTTCGTGAAGACTCTTCCAGTGAGGGAGACTTGGATGTGGATCTGTCTCCTCCCAAGCTTCAATGAAGCCCACCCACACCGAAGAATTCCTTGCACACGTGTACTTAGTAGCTGACGTTTTATTGTGCTAAGTATTTTCATGTTTTCTGATTTATAACTTTTGTTTATGCCAGTTGATTTTTAAATACCTTCTTAGGGAATATGGCCTTTTAATTAACATGCTACTATATTTTGTTTTCCGCCAAACGTGAACATTTAGAACCAGTTTTAGATGATGGCACGACTATTACCTTAACTGTTCCAAGTAGGCACTCACTTCTATTGCCTTAATTTCACATTCCCTATCCAAATGGAAGTTCTGGGGGGCAAAAGTTCAAAATCCGGGGTGGCAATCAAATCTTCAAACAGACACTTCCCACCTGCTGTCATGCTCTGACAAGCATTCACAGGGACCACTGCCCCTCCAAGGACCCTTGGGTGGAATCATAGCATATTAAGCTAGAGAGGCTAACAAAGGTGATCAAGGCCAGTCTCCCTGCGCCAGAATTTTATCTTCAACATTCTTAACAATGGCTCAGCCACTCTGTCTATGCTTCCACAGAATGTAGAATGCCCTAATTTGTTGCAAAACTATTTATGAGTGAGTGTTTTCCTTTATGATCTAGGAGCATGTATGGAGAAGTAATACTGTTAGTAAGTAAGGAGAACCTATGTAGCTTAGTTTCCAATGCATATGGAAGGAGCTAACTGGAAATTAACCACACCAAAGGACATAGTTGAAATGACTCCAAAAGGTTGAGCTGTTAGAGGTAAGTCTCTTGAAAAAAAATTATGAGAAAACCAGAGGCAAAGATTTTAATATTTGGTGAGAATGCTTTGGTTTAGTAAGATATTACGTTAAAAACATGTATGGTTTGGAAAACTTTTCTCTTTTCCTTTAACCTGTCTCTTGTAACAGTATTTACATTTTTGATTTCCACAGCCTAGTTACAGCTACTGTTGATGCCAAGAAGTTTTCTGTTTATTCCGTTTTTTTTCCTTTCCCCTTATTCAAAATTCCTTTCTTCCCAAATATTCCCTCTAGGAAATATATCCTAGATACAGAATTTGGCTTATGTGTGTATTTGCGTAACAGAAAGCATGCAGATACGGAATATGGCTTATGTGCGTATTTGCGTAACAGGAAGTAGGCGGAGACTGAGTGGACTTCAGCCATAATTCTTCAGCTGTAAGTTTAGAGATTTCCTTCAGTGAAAGCCTCCTACAAATATGGGAAGTGAGGGTTGATACTTTATGCTAGGCACAGACCCCAAACTACTTTGACAAGATCAAGATATATACACCATTGATATGTCTTTGCATTTCTGCATCTTGGCACAAAAACAATTTTGAGGAAAGACCATGCATTTTACGGAGGTCTACGTTAGTTTCCTACCTTATCAACATTCATTCGCTTAAACGATGCTTGCAGAAGTTTAAAATTGTGAATATACTCATGCTCCAACTTTGCTTGAAATTTTACTTTCTTCAAACTAATGCAGCCCGGAAAGAGCATGTCCATAAACTGGCAATAGGCAGCTCCTGAAAAGAGAGGAGAGAAATGCTGGTGTCAGTCTGACTGTAGCCAGGTGTGACTGAGGACTGCTGGGCTGGATGGAGGGCCCCATCTGCGTGCTCCTCTCAGTGTGTTGCACCTCCCTCATTCACCCAGGCTGGGCGCGGGGGGGGGGGGGGGGGGGGGGGTGCGGGGGGACGGGCGGGGTCCAGGGCCATGATTCCAGGCAGCCCCTGCCACTCTCCCCATTCCTAACCACTGTGGTACTGACACTGGATTCACCAGAGCATGACCACGTTCATGAACAGTGGACAGAAATACTTCAATGCCAAGGAAATCAGGGTCAGAATAACTGTTCTTCGCTTCTATCATAAAAAAAGAAACATTTTTTTCTTCCATCTAGATGCTCCTGCTCCAAGTCATCAAAATATATAAATGTAAGAGAAAAACAAAGTTTAAACACAAGAAAACCGCAAAACTTCACATGAAAGGCGTAGCTCAAAAAAATACACATGAAAATACAAATATGCCCAAGCCGTTTTATATCCACCTTGCAAAATGACTGAGGTGAAACTGGATAACTAAACCATCTAATGCCAAAAACAGTCGTATCCTGATTTAATTTCAGGCCAGAGCAATGGGGTCCTATATTCACATGAAGGATGAAGACATGGAGACTGAAACTTACAGAAGCTGAGAGTCATGCTGTTTATGACCGAGGAATAAAAAGAACAGAAATGTTCAATGAGTCCCCTGAGGAAATGGTTCTAGAAAAAAGGATTAGTAAGTCATATATATATATATATATATATATATATATATATATATATACATACATA